TATTCAACATCTGTATCAAAACTCAGTTTTTAAGTTTTTTTTTAATTTTTTTGAAATAACATTCTATTGGGCTGGTAAGATGGCTCACTGGGTAAAAAGTTACATCTTCTATACCCACAGAGACTAGCATGGAGAATTCTAGTTCTTCACAGAGTAGGCATGGAATAAAGATTGATTTTGAACCTTAATACTTATTATGTGAAAAAATCAATGTAGCCCCCCTGCCCGAGATGATCTCAAATCACTGCTGATGGGACCATGGCTATGAATCACATTTTAATCATAACAGATACACATGATTCTGAAGCTATGTAGGCAAAGATGTTGTAAGAAACATAAGCACAACAAATACATTTTATAATTTCACATGTGTGCACAAATGTATGCCGTGAATTAGAAAATGAGTCTGTAACTTCTTTGGTTTTCTCTTGTTCAAACTGGGAGAAGCTGCATTGCTGGTGGATTAGGAAACAGAGGGAAAAGCTGGATTCTTGGTTCAAATGTTTGCTGTTCTGCCCATTAACAAGAAGCCATCTCAGTGTCTCAAATGTAATTGAGAGACTTTATCACTGAACAATTATACCAAACAGGAGGGTGCTCTGGTCCACCATGATACTGAATCAAGCAGTGTTTTCATCTATTCCTATTTGAAATTACTAGAAAATAGTCCATGTTGCCAATAAAACCCACTCATGTAGCTCATAGCCAAGATTACTTTATCCATGGTCAGTTTGCTGGCTACTGTGGCAGAATGCAGTAGCCACATTCTTGGCCCTTCTGAGCTGGCCTGCATGTTCCCTGCTTCCCACATCAGGGTCTGCACTGCTCTGCTTCTCTGTTCTTGGTCTTTCCTGGTTCCTTTCTCTCAAGACTGGAGGAATACAGACACGGCCTGGAAGTGCAGGATAAGTTAATAACCCAGGGGAACTCCTGATGGAGTCAGTGGGTAAGTGTTTCTCAACCACTCTTCAGAGGAATCAGTTCCAGGCAGTTCTGCAGTGACTTCTAGAACTCCTCAGCAGGTCCCTAGCTGATCAAAGGCTAGTTTTCCTCAACTCATTAATACAGACTTCAGGGCTTCCTCTTTTTTCAACATTTAGTTTTATCATTTTTTAATTTTACATGTATGAGTATACTGCCTGAATGTATGTAAGTGCACCTGTGTCACGCAGTGCCTACAGAGGTTAGAAGACAGCATCTGATCCCCTGGAACTGGAGTTACAGAAGGTTGTTAGCTGCCATGTGAGTGCTGGGAACTGAATCCAGGTCCTCTGCAAGAGCAGTTAGCCATCTCTCCAGGCCCCTTTTTTTCCCTTAGTAAAAAATATCTGCAGCCTACCAAGAGAATATCTAAGTAAGAGTGAGATTTATTTGACCAATTGACTCTCATTGGAGAAGCCAACTGAGACAAAATGAACTCTAGCTTGTTTCACTTTTGAGTCATTTGCTTGGCAAATTGATGGCCTATTACTCAACAGGAACTGTGGATTGTGAAGAATGAAGAAACAGATGGTATCTTAAAAGAAGGATTTTTGGTTTCAGGGAGACTGTGTGTGTGTGTGTGTGTGTGTGTGTGTGTGTGTGTGTGTGCAGGCAAATTTCAATAGAGATAGAACAATAGAGTTAATATGTGTGAATAGGGCCCTGTAATGGATTTTACGTGTGCCTCGGATAGAAGAAAGCAGGGATTAAAGTTCCCAGAGGAGTTAAAGAACTATTATAAAAGTAATAGAGTTAGGAATCTATCATCTATCATTTATTTATTACCTAGTATGAAGCTATATCTCTGTTATCTAACTAGGTAGCTAACCCTTGCAATGTATAAAGTTGCATTTCAAATAAGTAGAAAAGGTAAGCTATTAAATAACCTATTCTAAGTAAATCTCAGAAACAATGACTAGTCATTATGAAAAACGTTAAGTCCCAGGCTCTCTTACTAATTATGCTGGTTTAGGTGAATGGAAGATTTAAATATCATCAGATCATAAAGATACGTGGAAGAAATGTAATTAATATATTTGTAATATTGTGGGAGGGAATCTCTTCCTTACAAGAATGTGAAACAAAAATAATATAGGGAAAGACAGATAATCAGCTTCTAATTTATAACAAAGAAATACACATGGCTTGGAAATCATCCACCCCATCTAAGCTGGAATTTTGGCTGGTTTGATCCTGTGTTAAGTCCTGTGTTTACTACTTTGCATTCATGAGTGCTATACCCATGTCATGTCCAGAAGGCAGCACTTTCAAGTACTCCCCCCACCCGCCAGCTCCTACATCCTTTCTGCTTCCTCTTTGGAGATGTTCCCTAATCCTTTAAAATATTTTTTATTTATTCTTGATGAATTGTATCTACCCATATAATAAATTTTGATCATTTCTATCTCCTATTCCCCCCTCCAAGTATTCCCAGACCCTTTTCAACACATCTTAATCCTAACCTTGTTCTTTCCTTTTTTAAATATCCCCAAGTCCAGTTAGTGCTGACTGTATTTGCGTGGATGTGGGACTAAATGGATACTGGAACATGGGAAACTTACCAGTGGCCACTCCATGAATGCAGAATGACTCTCCCTCCCCTAGCT